GGGGGTGAGCCCCTCTGCAATGCTCCTGTCCCCACTGCATCCCCACCTTCCATATCCACGTCCCACCCAGCACAGAGTGGATAAAACATGGGTTGTACTGGGTGGGAAGGGACTGGAGGGTCCTGCTCACTGTGGAGCTTTTTGCTGGATTTCAAGCCAGGCTTTTCCCCCAGTAGAGATGGGGAGGAGACACAGGTGGGTGGCACGGTGCATGGGAGGGGACAATCTCTGTCAGGGACCCTGGGTTCCCTCCAAGGGGGTGAGGACGTGACTTACTGGCTAGTGATGGAGGCATGGGTGGCTGGATGGGGTAAGCTGGTTGTGCAAACGGTTTAATGCTGGAAATGAAAAAGCATCATCAGTTTACCCAGCCCAGGATGCCCCAGCCCCTTGCCAAGGTGGGGTCCTGCTGGTGCTGGGTGTGGAGGGGTCTGTACTTACTCCTGAGAGGGTCCAGGCTGTCCTGGGATAGGCCCACTCCAAAACTGGGGAAAACAGCACAGGGAAGAGTCAGTGGCTTCTGATGCTCCCACTCCCAACATTTCCCTCCTCACCTGCTGCCAACAGCAGGGAGCCCTGCATTGCCACCAGGGCTGAGAACGGCTGTTGAACACCCCCTGCCCAGCCCGTGGTGTCCCCCACCCCTGAGTGTCCCCATGGGGGGTTTGGGGCTGTGCTCACCCTGGGGGCAGCAGAGAAGACGGCCTGAGGAAGAGGAGGAGGGGGGCTGAGCTTGTTCTGCAGGACGCTGGCAGACACGATCTGTGCTGAGGACATGGAAGCCATGCTCTGCAGAGCCTTGTCCTTGGAGACCTGGTCCTGAGGGGAAAGGGGGGACAGGGGGGAGCAGGGTTATAGGGGCAGAATGAGCTCCCTCATCCCAGCGTGCCTGACAGGTTTGTAAAGGCAGCAGCCAATCCCACCACCAGCCTGGGACCCTGCAGAGGGATCCCCCCACCCCTTCTCAAACATTAATTAACATCTGAAGCTTGCCAAAATCCTCTGGGCAAAAGCTGATGGGTCTGGAAAATGCCCCCTCCCTCCTTGGGGATGCAAAGTGTTTTTAGCCCCTCCACTGCAGAGAGCATAATGCAATGGGGAACAAAAGGAATTTCAGACTCAAGCTCAACTTACCAAGTTCATGGCCTGTCCGCAAAAGAAAGGAAAAAAAAAGGTTAGAGTGTGATGGGAACCTTTGGGTGCTCTGCACACCTCCCCTAAGTGGGTGCTGGTGTCAGCTGGGGCAGAGTTAATTTTCTCCACAGCACCGGCATGGGGTGGCTGTGAAGAGAATTAACTCTACCTGAACTAACTCTAGAGAGAATTAACTCTACAGCTGAAACCAGCACAACTGGGTCATCACCACCCCAACCATGGCTCATCACCACAGCCTGACCTGGGGAGTGAGGCCCTCGACCTGGCTGGTCACCAGGGGATGCCCATGGTGGGCACTGATGCCCAGGCTCAATCTCACCAGGAACGAGATGCCAAGGACCCCCACCCACTCTTTTAAGAGGTCACTGTGGTCAGCCAGGCCTGTGCCTTTCTTGGCTTTTCATTATCCTGCACAGCCTCCTCAGAAGCCCCCAGTGCTTGTGGCTGGGGCATGGGGAGGAAAAGCTGCTGGGATGCCCTGGAATGTGGGCACCAACTCCCCCACTCCAGGCACTGCAAGGAAAACCCTGAGCTCACCCCCTGAGCCGTGTGTGCACTGACAGAGGAGACCAATTGCTTTTCCTTTTGCTCCAGAAGTCCCAGCAGTGCTGGGCAGGAGCTCCAGGGCTTCTCCAGCTGCATTGCTGGGACACGTCCATGCTGGTCCCAGAGCACACCCTCTGCTTTGCCTCTGAACCCTCCCCAGGGATCAATGCTTCATTTATTTTCACCTGGGGCAGGGCAGGAGGGCGGGCGTGCAGCCACATGCTGGGAGCACGAACACACACCTGACTGCAGCTCAAAAATACAGATACAGATACAGATACTGCTCGTGGCTGCAGCTCAAAAATACAGATACTGCTCTGACTGCAGCTCAAAAATACAGATACTGCTTGTGGAAGTGCTTTCATCCCACAGGGTCATCCCACAGTGCTGCCTGAGGGCAGGGGGCTGCCTGCACTGGTCTTGAGAAGGGATGTTCTGTATACTCCAAGTATTGTTCAGGGGGATCTCTGCCCTTCTGCTCCTGCAGAATCCTTCAGACAGCATGGCTGGGGATGGAGAGCACAGCCATGGAGCCCTGGGGTCACTCCTGCCTCCAACTTCCCTTTGCTCAGCACCATGCCAAGTGGCAAGGAAAGAATTTTATTTTATTTTATTTTATTTTATTTTATTTTATTTTATTTTATTTTATTTTATTTTATTTTATTTTATTTTATTTTATTTTATTTTATTTTANTATTTTATTTTATTTTATTTTATTTTATTTTATTTTATTTTATTTTATTTTATTTTATTTTATTTTATTTTATTTTATTTTATTTTATTTTATTCTTCCACTGCTGTTGACCCTGCTGCCCTTCCTACTTCCCTGACTGCTCCCCTTGGGGCTGGAGACTGGGTTTAAGGCATCCAAGCCCAAAGGTGCATCCCAAAATAAGTTTCAAATGCTCTCCCTGGTTTCTCCTGGCAGACCAAAGCCTGGTCTGGCTATAGGAGCCCTCCTGGCCTCCCTCTCATGGGGCACTGGGGTCCCTGCTGAAGGATTTTGGAGGGCACACCTTGGTAAGCTCCCAGGCAGCACGAGCTGGAGTTTATTAAAGCTTTGAGGATGAAAATGCTCCAGCTCTGACAGTGGTGACAGTGGGCTGCACTGCCAGCCTCAGTGCTGGGATGGACACAGCACTCAGGACAGGGGGAGCTGCTGATGCCTTTGGGACCTCAAAGATTTCCTGGGCTCCCACTCACCCAGCAAGGCAGCAAATCACCCCTGGGGCTCCCCAAGGAGCTGTGATTAACTGAGGCACACGGCAGGAGCTGGCTGTCCCCAGTGGGTGGCTGTGCTCTGAGGACCCCTCTGATCCCCAGCTGGCACCATGTGGGTCCAACCCAAGCAGGGCTTGGTCCTTTGGTGATGCCCTCAGTCCTGGCCATGCCCCCCCATCATCCTCACCCTCCCCACTGCCACCACAAAGTTTGGTGGGAACAGCTATGGAAAGGTTAGTTGGGCTCCAGTTAGGAGGAGGGAAAGAAGGAAGGAAGGAAGGAAAGAAAAGCCAACCAGAAAAGAGAGAATGATCCATTTTTTTCTCACTTGGCTCCCTTGGCTCCTGGCACTGCCCCCAGCTGGACCTGCTGCCACTGACATCCCTGTGGTGCCACTGACATCCCTGTGGTGCCCCTGGCAGCGCTCACACCCTGGAGCATCACAAACCACTGGGCTGGCACCTGCAGGGACCCCTGGGCCCCTCTGCTTCTGCCCACATCCCACCAGCACCTGCTCTGAGCTGGCTCAGGTTAGCTGTGCAGGGAAATGAGCCTTGGCACACCTTGCCTGAGCGTCACTTTGCCTCACTGCCTGCCCTGGGGGGCTCTTCTCCTTGTGGGACAACCCCTGATGGCCCAAAAGAGAGGACAGCCCTCCCACATCACCAGAGGAGGGTTTAAACCCACATCTCCCATGGCAGAGCCCTTGCCTGGATGCAAAGAGGGGATCTGGCACCACATTCACCCTCCTGGAGGAACGAGCAGGGCTCTGCTGCCCTTCCTTGCACTTCTCTCTGGGCATCCCACAACGATGCCTGTAAAAAACCATCTGACCCAAGGAGCCAAGTGAGGGGGAAGGGAAAAAAACACCAAAAAAAGGAGAGGTAAAACAGGAAAGCAAGCAGCACACGGCAGAGCCCAGTGCGTTAGTGGGGGCCAGGCGAGGCAGGGCGTACCTTCAGCTTGGACTGAATCTCACGAGATTTCCGTCGGGCAAGAACCTGCAAGTGGCTAGAGACCTGCAGAGAGAGAGCAGAAGGAGAGGGGGAACAGCAGAGCCGTCAACCAGAGGAAAGGAGGAGGAAGGAGAGGGGCTGCCCATGCTCACAGAGACACCGCCGCGGACACCTGGGCAAGGGCGCCAACGTACCTTGATGCCAACCTGGTACTCCCGCACCTTCTTCCGAGCTAGAACCTGTATGTGGCTGGACACCTAGGGCCCAACACGCCGTTCAAAAGGAAAACACAGAGAGAGTGAAGATCCTGCAGGGCAGGCTCTGTCCCCGGGGCAGGGAGTGCAGGAGTGGGCAGCGCTGTGGCTGCTCCCGAGGTGCCAAGAGCTGCAGGAAGGAAAGTGCTGGGGCACCCTGGTTGATGCTGGTTTGTGCCCACCCCAGGCTGGGGTGGAGCTCCTTGGTGTAAAGCTGCTGCAGTTGAGGGGGTCCCCATTTAGCACTTCTTGGGGATGGACAGACAGACCCTGCCAGCACCTGGCAGGTTTGAGGTGCCCCAGGTGCCTGTGGGTCCAGGAGGGACTGGCACATTGCCCCAGGGCTCCTGCTGGTTTTGCACGTGGGAAAGGTGACAAAGTTGGGTTTTTGTGTCCAGGCCCCCTTAAGAGCAAGATCTGAAGGAAAGGGGCTGATGTCCAGGCAGTAAAGGCACAGCATGGCTGGGGGCCAGCCACAGGAAGGGTGGGTGTCCATGCACCCACAGGGCTTCAGGGCTGATTTTGGGAAAAACCTGCTCCATCAGTGCCAGGCTGTCCAAGAGGAGACACCAGGCTGCCCAGGAGATGCTGCACAGAGGGATCAGTGCTGTCTGTGGGTGCTCTCTCCCATGGCTTTCCCAAATCCCCCAGAGCACTGCATCCTTCCCCCATGGAGGGGGGGCCCAGTTCAGTGTTTAATCCAGAAATGAAGTGCTGCTTGGCACTGCTCTGAACACAAAACCAGTGGCCACAAAATCCTAACCCTGATCCCTCTCCTTTCAGCACAAGTCCTGGAGGAATGACCTCTGCAGTGTCAGCGGACCAGCATCCCTCTCTTGTGGGGACTCGTGGCATGGGACAGTCCCAGCAAAAGTGTCCCAAACTCAACCATCTCCCTGTGGTGGGGATGCTCCCAAGCATCCAAGGCCATGGGCTCTGCTGGGATGGGTGGACTGGCTTCTGATTCCTCAGACAGGTTTGGTGAAGCAAGGGCTTGCAGGGACCTCTGTGTGCTCCTGCAGGGACCTCTGTGTGCTCCTGCAGGGACCTCTGTGTGCTCCTGCAGGGACCTCTGTGTGCTCCTGCCCTGCCTGCATCCCTGCCTGCCCCAGCATCCAGCCAGGCAGGGCAGTGAGAGCAGGGCAAGGGCTCCGTGGTACCTCCAGCCCCACCAGGACCAGCCCCACAGCCCCACACAGCCCACCCCTGGATCCCTGGCTGGCATGGGGGTGCCATGCTCTCAGCCCATGGGGTTTGGAGTGCCTTTGCTGTGGCACAAGTGGCATAAAGCCTGGCAAGGGGCAGAGATAGGAACGGTGCCCAGATCCAGAAGGTGCAGCAGATCCATGCAGGCACACACAGACACACAGACACTGCCCAGAGAGAGTCTGGGGGCTCCTGCCACCCACAGGGTCACCCCAAACAGCTGGGGGGCCGGGGTGCTGCCTGCCCCCTATATCAAGGCATCCTGGGACTGAGGAAATCCCAAGGGTTTTGTGTTCACAGATGAAGGAAGCTCCTCGCAGAGGATGGGGAACCTGCTGGCAGCAGCAGTGGCTGGATGAGGGGACACAGATGACAGCGGGACACCCGCTCCCGCTCGGGCTTACCTGGCACCACCTCCCACCCCAGCCCGAGCCCCCCACCCCAGGAGAAACCAGCAGAGCAACGCCTCACCTGCTTCCTCGTCCGTGTCTTCCCCGTTCGCAGCTTGATGTAGCGGGCGATCAGCTCGTTACGACCTGCGGGTAGAGCCTGGGGTCAGCCCTGGCACTCGGGGGTCTCAGGGTCTCAGCCCCGGCACTCGAGGGTCTGAGCC